TGAAAAGAAGAGGGAGACATTTTTAGAAACAGCAGCCAGTTTAGGAAAGGAGCCCAGGGAATATGTCTAGAGAGCAGTAGTCGAGATTGAAGCAAGAGGCTAGGTAATTCTGGGAAGAAACCAAAAGAAAATTTGAATCAGTACATTTATGCATATAATTACTGCAGCAAATTACCTGTTTATGCTATACCAGCGTAGTGCTATTTGCCATATTAATTCTGATAACAAATAAAAGCATCTTATATCAATACAGGTTAAGCATCCCCAATCTGAAAATCTGAAATCTGAAGTGTTCCAGAACCTTTTTGAGCACTGACATAATACTCAAAGGAAATGCTCATTGGAGCATTTCAGATGGAATTTTCAGATTTGGGATGCTCAACAGGGTTAGTCATGCGAATATTCTAAAATATGAAAACTGAAATCCCAAACACTTTTGGTCCCAAGCATTTTGGATAAGGGATACTTAACCTGTATAGCTCTTTATAACATATGCAGTGTCTTCTAATTTAGTCCTCATTTCAGACCTGTGAAATGGCAATGCAACATTCTATTTTATAACTGAGAAAACTGAGGATGGTACAGCTTGTCACTTGCCTAAGCTAACATTTCTAAAAATTAGCAAGTACTATAACTGCCACAGATCTTTTAGAGTCTGAATTCTGAACTTTTGATTCAGTTTCTCACAAACCGAGCATGTTCAGTACCTGAACTGATCGTCCAGTTTTTCAAATCAAGGCTTAACTACTTTTTTGTTTGGAAGTTGACCTAAAAAGCACTTTTGCAGCAAAACTGTTCACACAGGGAGAAAACTTATGTCTGTAGCATTTGCTTTAGGTAGGGAAAATGGGGGGGGAGGACTGATGTTGGTTAGTATTTTGACCAGAGGATACTACTATACTACACTTTTCTCTTGTGCCAATCTCATAAGTCAAGAGACTGAGCTTTTAATTCAGGGAAGCTCTGTCAGTCACCTGGTCAGTGGCCTTGGATAATTCACTTCAGGCTATTTAGTGAGCAAGTTCCAGATGATGTCATCTTTAAAGGTCTCTTCCATTTCTAAAATCTTATGTCTTATGAATCTGAGTTGGTGAAATGCTCTCTTGTGCTGTAGACCAATCTGACCCCTTAGTTATGTGTGGAATGTGCTAAGCTGTGTTTAAAGCCAAATTTAGATGTTGATATTATTGCAGAGTGACACTCCTTTTATTATCTAAAGATTTCAAAAAGTGTAAGGTTTTTAAAATGGTCATGTTTAAAGCAACTTTCAGCTCAGGAAGTGAAAGTAACTATTATTATAGTTATTATTAGTGGTAGTGTTGACATTTTTTGTGAAGAATTCAGCACTTCTCTGAAGGTGTTTATATATAAATGTGTTTTAAGTATATATAGTTTTGGGAAAAAATCCTAAAAAAGGAAGTTTGTTTAGAAAAGCAGGAGGATAGAAAATGTATTGATAGCACATTCCAAGGCATTTTTGAAAGATTTTATTAGTAAGATGAATATATTTACTTAACAAATAAAAACCCATGGAGTTGCAAACATACCCTTGGTTTGAAAATACATTTTAGGCAGATCTGTTATGTAGGTGGAAATACATGGAAGCACAAATTACTGTACTTTAAACAGTCATTCTTGAACTAGACAGTATGAAAGAGGAAATATTGTGAATTTCACTCTCAAAATAGTGCGTGGGAATGGGAAAATGTACATTTTTTAAAAATCCCAAAATAAATAGCTTTACTTTAATGGGAAGAAAATTTGAATTTGAGGAAATGCAGATTGTAAAGTATTTAGAATGGATTGTAAAGTGGGAAGCTATTTATTAATTTTAAGTACTAAATAGAAGGAGCACTTTGTTAAAAAGGAGGAGAAAAAGAATATACACGACCTTCCAGTGTAAAATGAGTATTTGAAGGTTGTTTCTGGCAAAGGTAATTTATAAATAAAAAGGAAATCACCTAGCTTTATATGTAAATAGAAAAATGTGATATTAATGGAATAAACCAAACAGTAGATTTGAAAACAACAGAGTTCAAATCCAGTAGATTTGAAAACATCAGAGTAGCTTCATCATTATCTGTATGTGCTACAACAGTGATGAGCATAAGGAATTTTCAGTTTCAAACAAAGGCCTATTTGTTTTCATAGAATTGGTTAAAAAGAGATTTCATTTCACAGTGACTTTTAATGGCCAAGGTCTGTGATCTAGGGTGAAGTTAAATTAAAATAGCACTGAAATAATGCTCATTATATTGTGAATTTAACCCTTTCCTCTTATATTCTTGCTAAGAAGAGTATATGGAGGAAATAACTGAAACATAATGTTCTTTTGAACTTATAAAACTTCACAGTGTTTTCCCAATTCAGTGGACAGAGAGACTGCCACTTCCTTGGGTTAGAGTTTGGGTGAGATAAGAAATGTTCATCCCTGCTTAAAGTAAGCATTCCAGGTTCTGAATTTTAATTGTGGCAAGGATGTAATTTTTTCTTCATTCTGATAGTCCTTGAACATACGCTTAAATGTTAACATGTCATTTTCCTATAATATGCTAGAACACTCACCCCTGGACTCTGTGGAGTCAGGTTCCCAGATTTATGCCTCGTTCCTACCTAGATTTGTGACATTGAGCATACATGCATTTATCTTCACTAAAGATCTTCATCTATATAGATATAAAAATAATTACCATTTCTGCCTTACCAAGTTTAGAGTCATGGCTTTGGAGAAAGCAAAAGGGAGGAATTTAATCTCATTTAATGTTCAGGGCTCTGTGATCTTGTAATATGGTTGTTATTTATAGTTGGCAAAACTTACAAATGTATGAGGTCTTTTTCAAAAATTTATAAATAAATGATTTATATTTTACCACTTGGGACAAAAATGTTAACAGTTCTTTGAATATTCAAATTAATACCTCTTTGGTATTTGATCTTTTCATTTCAAGGATAGTTCCTCATTCTGCCTCCCAGCCTACTTATTAAACTTTATATCCATTCTTCTTGCAGACATTGTCTGCACTTGTTGACTCTGCTGCTTGCCCTTCACTCGTCAACTGTATTCTGGTTTGTGCCTGTACTACTTCACTGAAACTGCTGTCGCCAAGGCCACCAGTATCTGTTTGCTGCAGTCTAATGGACTTCTCTGTCTTGCCTATCTCATTGGCAGATAATACTGTTAACCACTTCCTCCTCAAAAGAGGCTCTAGTGATACCACATTTAACTGGCATTTCACCTCCCTCTCCCTCCCTCCCCCCCCCCTCTGATAACAGCCAAATCTCCCTTGTGGACTTATCTTTCTCTACCCATCTTCCTTCCTTCCTTCCTTCCTTTCTTTCTTTTTTTTTCCTCCTTTTTTAAGAGGCAAGGGTCTCTTGCTCTGTCACCCAGGCTGGAGTACAGCTATGTACTTTGTAGAGACAGGGTCTCGCTATGCTGCCCAGACTGGTCCCAAACTCCTGGTCTCAAGCTGTTCTCCTCCCTTGGCCTCCCAAAGTGCTGGGATTACAGGCGTGAGCCACCATGCCCGATCTCTACCCGTCATTTAAATGCTGCTCTTCTTCAGAGGTCTCTGCTTCTCATGATACTGTTTTTCCTAGAGATCAGCATTCATTGCTTCAGTCATAATCTGCTGGTGATTCCAAGACTTTTCCTTGTGACATAAACCTGCTTCAACATAGCTTCAGGCTAAAAAAGGGAGATGTGTTGCTTCATGAAACCGATCCAGTATACAGGTCATACTGGTCTTTAGGGATGACTAGAACCAGGGATTTCTGTCATCTGGACTTCCTCTTTTGTCTCTCCTTGTCAGCATTATTTCAGAACCATCTTCTGCATAAGGTTAGAACATTGTCGACTTTAAGGATGTCCTAAAGTCAACAGCTTGGCAGCTGGGAAGAAAAAGTAGGTTTACACTCTGTCCAGTTGCAGGTAGAAAATTGCCCGACCAAGGATTTTCATTGACTCAGCTTGGTTTGCCGTGGTGGGAAAAAAAAGTATCTTGACTAACACTCATTCCAGTGGTGATGGTGGGGGCAGGAATCTAATGGCTCAATTCAGAAAAGGAAGCCTGACTTAACCCTTATCCATCTTTCATGTACAATTCTAATTTCATTGGATAAGGTGATAATTTTATTTATAGTTTTTGATGAGCTATAGCTGCTTGATTATCTGACTTCTCAGGATTCATTGCTCCATCAATTACTGAGTTGTCTATGAGAGTCAAGGACTCAACTGAGGAAACCTGTATGAAAATGATGGGTATTTCTTCTTGGAACTAGAAACTTATATGTTATAATGTTCTAATTAGTGGTTTTAAAAAATCAACTTATTAAAATAATTCATACTCTCGTGGCCATAAATAAGGTGCTCCGTGAAAGCAGGAATTTCTGTGTAGTGTCACTGCTGTATCCCTCGCACTCGACACGCCGAAGGTGCTCAAAAAATGATGTGTTGAGCCGGGCGCAGTGGCTCACACCTGTAATCCCAGCACTCTGGGAAGCAGAGGCGGGTGGATCGCTCAAGGTCAGGAGTTCGAGACCAGCCTGAGCAAGAGCGAG